ATACCCTGAGACAATCAGCACCTCATGTCATGCCATTTGCATTAAAGAATGAGGGAATATGGGACTAACACAGCCAATACCCATACCACCACTATTGGATCATACGCACAGACGAGTCCAAGAAGGACAGTCTACATAGAGATGACCGGGGGAAAACAGAAGGAGAAAAAACGCACTCTTTACTTGGCACCATCACCACTAACCATCTCTCCTCAGGACACTGCTGTCATGCCGTATCTGTTCTGGCTCCGGCGTTTCTGGTATGCGGAGCCGGCCCCACCCCCTTTCTGACGCGGCTCTCTTACGCTATTTAGAGAGACCGCGCCAGATTCAAACCGCTTGGTGATTCTCGGACCTTCTTCCGTGTTCAGACGCTGGCTACACAATCTCCGGACTGTGTTTACCATTTATTACTTGGACTCTAACTATCCGATCCCATGGAGGACAACTCACCTCAATCTTAAGTATAAAATTTACTTTAATCTCTGGAGTCTCATTTACAGCTGAACTGTTCCTTGCTTGCTATAATCTGCATTGCTGCTTGCATGCTATACCCATGGAGGATAACTCCCATCAATCTTAAGTATACTATTCATTTCATCTCTGAAGATTTACTTATTGATGAATTGTTTCTTGCTTGCTATAACCTGCATTTCTTCCCATTGAATTGTTACTTACATGCTATAAACCTTAGTTACTAAAAATTATAGCACTCATTAAGACTTCGCCTAATTCACTAACTTCCAGCAAACCCGACTTTGCTTTAAAGCTACAGTATCCTCAATAGTTAGAAAGATTTTCCGCTTCATTGCTATTATAATTAAGGAGTTTTACAAGCTGCAGTTGAGTTCCAATTCCAAAAAACCCTTGTAGCATAACAACTGCTGCCGCTCAAGACCAACAGGACCGCCTGAGATACACCGTGCCTTATACGTTAGGGGAAAGGACCCCCTCTCCCCACCCCCTTTTTTTTTCCTTGCTACATCCCAACCTCCAACCGCTAAAAGAGGTCCTTGACCAAAGGCCGCAACAACTTTCCACTTCAAAAGGAACCATCACCCACGGACGGACACTAGGTTGACGCCACTATGACTACCTACATAGAACAATGGCTTCCTGACAGATCGCTGCTGTGCCTGAAGCAACCCCCTAATGGACTCTGGACACCTCCGACACACTGGTGGAGGAGTACAGTCCACTGCCGGCGCTACCCTCACAACACAATGAGGACATTTGAATGCGCACATAGACTGACAAAACTTAGACCAAGGAAAGAAGCAGAAATGGGGACTGACATAACGCAGATGCCACTGCGTTACCACTGCACATGCAAGTATAATGCTAGACATGTTAGACAGGGGACTGACTTAGCGACCACACACCCTCACAGGCACACACCCACAACCACGACAACATAAAGATGACTCGGATAGGCCCATCAGACAAAGGCCTGCTCAAGGGCACAGAAATGGGCAGACCCCAGCAATACACAACCGCACCTGGCCTGATGGGGCAGATCCACAAAAGCAGAGAAAACCAACCAACCACAGAAAATAAACAGACAACCCCACACAGACGACCTACAACCGGGACGTACTACAACCAATAGACCTGACACAGACATTAACCTCGAATGGGGACTCACTGACACACAAATTCACTGGGAAGTCCATATACAAGATACAAAAGGAATACACGAAAACAAAATGGCAAAGAAGCAGGATAGAGCAGCCATATCCCTTCTAAAAGACTCATCACCACACAAACACAGGGGGACACATTAAGCAACTGAGTGATGCCTGTAGGGCCGCACACAACCGCTGGTTTGTTACAATTGCTGCACCTGTTATACATAATAATGCTATTGTTGGATGTCTGGTACACACATTCTGATTCTAGGAGAAGAGACAGCATAAGTAAAACCCACACCCCTCTTTTTTAAAATTATTATTATGATATATTTTTTTTCTTCTCTCTCTCTTCCCCTTCACGCCAGGATAACAGACACCATACGCATACGAGCTGACACAACAGCTAGATAGGAAACACCGAAGGGTCATTGTAAAAGTACCTGCTTGTTAAAACTGTTATAACCGATATATCTGTTGATGTTAAATGCCTTGTCTGCGCAGGCTAAATGTTGTTTCCCTGATCCCTGCACTCAAACTTCTAAACCATATTGCCTAACCCCTATCCACCAACCCGACCACTGAGACTACCATGTACAGTACACTACTAAACTTGTCCTACCCATGCCGTATGACACACCTCCCTGCCCGTAGGCAGCCAGGGGCGGACACTGACCCACAGTGAAATACCACCTAACCTAACACTAACGACTGGTGACCTGACGAGCCCACGACACTACCGACCCCAAGGGTTTACTGCAATTAACCTAGAAAGTGGACAAGCGGGATACCGTGCCCACACATCCACCAACCAGCAGTACCCCTACCACGAGTCACCTCTGCGACACAACACCACCAACACCCATTTCCCTACATTGATACCACTAAACACTACCCCTATCCACAACTCCCCTCCTGCTGCCCTAACCCCCACTCACCGTGTCTACCCCATCCCGTTACCTGATCCTTTTCACCCCACTACCTCCACACCCCCAGTTACCCCCCCAACACCAGACCCTCCCCCCGTGGACCTCTACATCCACATTCCCTCCACCATGGGCTCGCCCCCTCCTGCTCCCTACACCCCTGGCGCCGGAGGAAAACAGCGAGAAGGCATCACCTTCTACATGATCAATGCGAGAGGCCTGTATTCCCCTCATAAAAGAGTGAGGGCGCTGCGGGGGATAAGGGCACTCTGGGTATTGATCACCTTCTTTCAAGAAACCCACTTCCTCACAGCCCAGGCCCTCAGATTCTCCAATAAATACTACCCTACTGGCTACTTCACACATAACCCCTCATCTAAAACCAACGGCAGACACCCCATTCAGCCTGGAAGCCAAACAAGCGGATAAAGAAGGCAGATATCTTTTTCTAAAAGGGAAACAAGGTGACTCCCTGATCACGCTTGTGAATATATATTTACCAAACAGAGACCAGAAAAAGTTCCTAGCCACTGCTCTATGAACACTGGAATTGTTCAGTGAGGGAACCATAATAATGGGGGGGGGGGGGTTATTCAACGCCCCACTAGAACCCAGGTTGTATACATCAAAAGGGACATCCACGATATCGGACCATGTCCTTAGGGGCATAAGGACCCTACTGTCGCACCACCAGCTCTCGGACTGTTGGCGAACTCTTCACTATGCAGACAAAGATTACACTTACTTCTCAGCACCACACAGATCGTACTCTAGGATTGACTATTTCTTCGTCCAGCACAGAGACTTGGACTTACTGATTTCAGCCCATATAGCAACAATGTCCTGGTCAGACCACGCACCAGTGGTCCTTACCATTGACAATCCGAAACCATTTCTGGCACAGTGGGCATGGAAGCTAAATGAATCCCTCTTAGACGACCCACTGATACAGACAAATGTTAGCGCCACCCTAGAACACTTCTTTCTTACCAACAAGTCACCGGAAAGTGCTACGTTGGCCATATGGGAACCAAACAAATGGGTCATAAGAGAGCTACTCATCAAACATGGCACAAGAAATCTCACACTTAATTATCTAGATCACACAATTAAAAAGCCATCATAAAAACACATTAAACAACAACATCAACAAACAACTCATAGACCTTAGTGTGAGTCTCAACTCTTGCCTGATGTTGAAAATGCAGTTCCAATTTCAACTCACCCAAAAAACTTTCTACGAATTCGGAAACAAAAGTGTCAAACTGCTTGCTAGAGCACTCTGAGCACGTAGACAAAAGAGCCATGTCCAAAAGACCTCACTTGCAGGGGAAACCTTCCACACCCCCATGACAATCGCAGAGGGCTTTCGACAATACTACTCTTCGCTGAACTGCCTACCACCCCATACCCCAATGGTGGACGACGATGCTGGGACCCTCTCCGACCAACAAAAAACCTATATTGCGTGCTACATGACGACCAAACTAGAGGCACACTCCACAGTTGCCCTAGAAGAAAACATCACGAGAGAAGAACTACATCTGGCCATTAAACTAGCCAAAACGGGGAAGAGTCCGTTCGCGGATGGATTCTCTGCAAAATACTACAAGCTGTTCTCCGACACCCTGGCCCCACACCTCCTAGCCCTCTATAACAATACCCCAAATGGGGGCTCACTAGACCCCAGCATGCTACTGGCCCACGTGGTAGCTACAGACCGATCTCCCTGTTGAACACCGATCTCAAACTCTTCACAAAAATCCTGGCTCTCCGCATGTGACCCCCTACTACCGAGCCTCGTACACTTGGACCAGGTGGGTTTAGTTGAAGGATGTGAGGTCAGAGATAACATGACTAAAACCTTATACATGCGGCATGGAGCAGGACCACTCCTGCCCCCCTGGTTTCAACAGATGCGGAGAAGGCATTTGACAGGGTTGACTGGTCCTTCTTAATTACCACGCTTGAGCACATAGGCGTCGGACCACAGATGATGGCATGGATCTCGGCACTGTACTCGGCCCTGGTCGCTCATGCCCTCTTTCACCCCTGCTCTTTGTGATCAGCTTAGAGACATTTTTGAACGCCATACGAACACAAGCTTAAAGGGACACTGTAGTCACTATAAACATTTCATCTCTTTGAATTGGTAACAGTGCCTGGAGTACCCTGGAACCCTGGGACTCCATTCAGTGTTGAACCATGTTTGTGCAGTATGCCACAAAATAAGAGTCCCTGGCCACCCACAATCCGGCCCCTTCTGTACGTGTAGCTAAGGCAGAGATTACACACTTCCTTGTTGTCATACCCATTCATACCGTCAGTTGGAGCTCTGACAGGCTAAAAGCAGTTAGCTGACACTCTCAGCCAATCACAGCTGCCCATTGCTGCTCAGGGTAATACTTCCTTATTAGCCAAAGCAGCACAGAGGGGATGGACTGCCGATGACTCTTGTTTAGCGTTAAAACCTTAAAACATTAAAACTGTTTAATGTTAAAAGAAATGGTGGTACCAGGGGACTCCAGACACTATAACCAGTTTAATGAGATGAAGCAGATACAGTGCCTACGGTGTCCCTTTAAATAGAAGGGATCAAGGTAAAATGGGGTGAGAGCAAAATCTTGGCATATGCGGACGACCTCCTGTTTACTATCACAAATCCGGAACCATCCCTCATCCCTAAAAGAGCTTATACATCAGTTCAACACATACGGACTACTGAAAATCAATTTCTCAAAATCTGAAATCCTCACTGTGGGATGCCTCCGATCGCTGGAAACCTCACTGAAAGCCGAGCCACCCTTCCAATGGTGCGAGAAGTCACTCAAATACTTAGGAGTTTGGCTCTCAGCGGAACTGTCAGACACTTAACGCATCAACTCCCTTCCCCCCTCCTTGACAAGATTCAAAAAGATCATGGACGCTACCCCACATTAGGTGGCTTGGAAGAATAAGCCTAGTCAAGATGAACGTGCTCCCGTGTCTCCTGTACTTCCTGCAAACACTACCGTTTCACATACCCAAAACGTTCCTCTTACAGATACACACAACATTCACAGAATACATCTGGCACCACCGACAGGCGAGATTGAACTATGCAACCCTCATAAAGCCCAAGGACCATGGAGGACTGGGACTCCCAGACCTAACCAAATATCGACAAGCCATACACCTCCAAAGAATAATAGAATGGCACTGAAGGATAAAATCTGGATCTCGACAGAGGCGAGCTTCACACAGACACCATTATCCCTGCCAAGAAACTACCGAACAAACATCCGACCCTGCACATGACTATGATAGTCTGGAGGAGCTTATGAACACATAAAGACATAGCTCCAACACTGTCACCACTGTGCCCCATTTCACACAATTTACAATTCAGCCCAGCAACATCCCCCCCCCTCCAATAGACTGCAGCCCTGGCACTCCCATACCCGTGTAGACTGAAAAACATATATAACCAAGGTATGATCACGCCTCTGTTGGAACTGGTACCACATACCCCGCACAACCTGCTTCTCCCCCTACGACACTACCAACTGACAAGATTCCCGAGGAGCATCCCCAACCTGGACTAAGCCTCGAGAGCACTCACCACTTTTGAGAACATATGCTCCAGCTCCCCTGAGAACACCGGACCTGGCCCGGGGGAGTGGGTGATGGGACGGAGAATGAGAACCCATCCACTCCTACCCCTGCCACCATTCAGACACCCCTCATGCCTGGTCCTTCGTTCTCTCCACCTCAACCCTCCGCACCCTCTCCCCTTCCCTCTCACTAACCCCATCCCTTCCTCCCTCACCCTTTCTCCCCTGCTTGGACTACTGCTGTAACCCCCTAATAGTGATGTACCGAACGGTTCGCTGGCGAACGGTTCCTGGCGAACATAGCATGTTCGCGTTCGCCACGGCGGGCGAACATATGCGCGGTTCGACCCGCCCCCTATTCGTCATCATTGAGTAAACTTTGACCCTGTACCTCACAGTCAGCAGACACATTCCAGCCAATTAGCAGCACAGCCTCCCTAGCAGACCCTCCCACCTACTGGACAGCATCCATTTTAGATTCATTCTCAAGCTGCATGCTTAGTAAGAGGAGGGAAAGTGTAGCTGCTGTTCATAAGATAGGGAAAAGCATAGCTAGGTTAGGGATAAGGGTATGCTTTTTTTTGATTTTTTTTTTCTATGTAATGTAAATGCACTTAGTTGTCTGCCACTGCTGCCAGCTTCTGTGTCAGGCTCACAGTGCCCATTTCCCAGTCAGTGCTACCAATTACATCTGGTGTCACAATAGCTTGGATTTAAAAACAAAAAACTTTTTTCACTGTTATAGATTGAATAGCAGTCAGTTGTCTGCCACTGCTGCCAGCTTCTGTGTCAGGCTCACAGTGCATACTGTGCCCATTTCCCCAGTCAGTGCCACCACTTACATCTGGTGTCACAATAGCTTGGATTTAAAAACAAAAAACTTTTTTCACTGTTATAGATTGAATAGCAGTCAGTTGCCTGCCACTGCTGCCAGCTTCTGTGTCAGGCTCACAGTGCACTGTACTTACATTTCCCCAGTCGAGTGCCACCAATTAGATCTGGTGACACAAAGCTTGGATTTAAAAAAACAAAACACTTTTTTCACTGTTATAGATTGAATAGCAGTCAGTGTCCTTAAAGCGGGTGTGTTACGTAACAGTGGATACGCTGACCAGTGCCACTAATTAGATCCTGTGTCACAATAGCTTGGATTTAAAAACAAAAAACTTTTTTTACTGTTATAGATTGAATAGCAGTCAGTGTCCTTAAAGCGGGTGTGTTACGCTAACAGTGGATACGCTGACAAGTGCCACTAATT